TTTGATTTATTAAGACTGTCATTATTTCGATCATATGTTTTTAACTTTAAAGCAGTTTGAAAAAATAAATATTTAAATTATTGAAGGAAATCGACCAAAGTAAAGCATATTAAGTTTTTGATTATKTAATAATAATAGTTATGTTATCAACCCACGAATGGCCTAAATAAACTGTTTTAAAAATATGATTAAAAAATTGAAAAAAATGAATCAATCAATCGTTAAAAACCGGTTTTAATCGGTAACCGATTACCAAAAAMCCTTATCAACGGTTTTTAAACGATTGATGGTTATGATAGTGTTTGAAATATCTTTGAAGAAACGATTACCGGTTACCAAAATATCACAATTAAACGATAACCGGTCACCGGTTTTAAAAAAATTTCTGCTCCTAACGAAGCCATTTAACGACTTTATCGAGAAGCCCTGGTTAAAATTGTATTGTATGGCCCACTTATATTATAATAGCTAAATCATATGGTGGATATTGAGATGTTGGAGTGTTTGTAAGGTGATCAAAAACCCTGCATAATTTGTAATTTATTTTGTCCTGAGGCCCGTGAAAAGTAGCGCCGTCCCTGTAGTCAAACACCGCGTGATACTCGTAAGTAGCCAGCAGGACCTTCGGCCGAATTGCTACTGGAGTTGTAGTTGTCGTTGTGCAAGTTAATTATGGTTATTATTATTACTCACGTACTGTTTTTGGTTTTCATCGACGTAGGCCAGTAGCTATTGCTTGCTATATATGTAGACACGTCACCCACGTAGTAGGTCTACATAAAATGGTAAATTATGTTACGTATAATAGGTAAGTACCTAGTTGAAATATCTAATGTCTATATGACTATATAGTGTAATAAATTATTATCTGTAACGAAAAGTAATGAGTCGCAACAGGTCGGGAACGTTTCATGAGGTACGCCGCCCTGCAAATGACACGATAATAATAATAATAATAATAATAATAATATCATAACACCTACAAATTTATGACGCCTGTGCGTCTACCTCTACATTGCACAACTCCGTTCAACTTGACCCCGTCACTTCCAACGAGTTATTAACGTCGGCCCCAGAGTGCGCAGAGCTCGTGATTCATTAGCGATATGTTGTGGTTTTTCTGAAACAGTTGTGCCGCTAAACCTAACGGCCATCACCGCATTAAATTGTAAATACAAAATAAGATCACGCATTGTTGCTTACATTCCTACAAAAGTATTCTTAATCGAGTTCTTTATATGCACTTCATCTCAAATCATCGAGTGACAGAATAAAATACATAATATTTAAACAATATACCTCTTACTCCTCAACTCCTGTGTTGGTACCTCTTCCTATTATATTATTATGTTTTAATCATTCCTACGCTGATAATCATACTTAAATCCTACCGAAATGTTTATGCCATTATTACAAATGGACTTATTACTGGAAATAGAATACGAYTGATTGGTAGATAACCAACCTACAAATTACTGATATGTTTTGATTTACATTTAAATCTATACTTAACAACCATTTAAAATTTAGTATATCTCATTTATATGTATCACCGTGTATTCTAAATCCCGACACGTACAATAAAACAATAATTGTTTCTATGTAAATAATACAGGTACACTCTGCGTGTCCTAAATGCTTTCATTTAAATATAATTGGACATTATTTCGATTAGGATAATATGACCATCGAAAATCCGCTATACAAATTCAAATACCATATAATCTCTGCGCAATAAACCACACGCGGGTAAATGCCARTGGGTCATTCGATAGGTAACTATATAATATTAGATATCTRCATACCTAMAGAATTTGGATCAGGATCATTAGAGAATAAATATGCTGGGGAGTTATGTGTATACGACATATTACTTATTATAAGTTGTGTAGGTATAAAACTTATATAATACCTATGCATTACATAACAAGCGAGATAAGAATAATATTATAAACGAGTGCATGAGTTAGGTCTTATAAAAAAATGCAC